CCGCCCCCCCCCCCCCTGAACACCCCCCCCCCCCAGCTGCCCCGAGGCTGGACCTCGGTGGCCTTGTGGCATATCCGGCCCTGATCAGAGTACACCGCAGGGTAGACAGTCAGGATGAACCTAGCCAAAATCAAGGTTGACCCTGAGAGCTGGGGCATTTACCCAACTTCCTTGGAGGCTAATAAGACCACAGCTGGCATCTTCATACACAAGGCCCTCATATGTTTTGTTCTTCTGTTCTTTTTACTGTCCATATCTTTTTACCTTTTGTTAATAAAGGGTCTTGGGTGCCATACCTGGCCAGATTGGGAAACAGCGGGACTATAAATGCCTGGAGTGCAGAGAGTGAGAACTCTTGGATTCAGGTGAGGTTTCATAACAACGTGCTCATTCACTTCCAAATATTATGTAAACTTTTTGGTTCGGAACCAAACGAATCGCACATGTCTAGTCTGCATCCCCAATGACTGAGGACAGGTTAAGTGTGTAGGGTGTCATGCCCCCTATTCCCCTCCCTAGGTAAGTATAACATAAAAAAATGTTTAACATACTGCTGTGGGAGCCTCAAGTTTGGGGGAAGAACCTCAGGTGGGGAGCATTGAGCCCGGATTTGGGCTTTAAAGTAAGTTTTAGGGATAACTATCCACCCAACCAAAACATCTTGTACAACAGCCCTAATAGATATTCAACTTTGCCGATTCCTTTTTGTATTTTTGTTTTTAAACGTACCTGTTCCTCAAGTTTGCTATGGTCGTGCCGTGCTATCTTGGCGGCAGTGTCTGTACGTGTTGCAGTTACATCATCTCAGCCCAGCCAATGAAGACGGCCCAAGACTCCAGACCCAGGCTGCCTGAAGAGTGACCCATTACAGCAATATATATCTCATGCTCTCATGCGCGTATTTCTTATCAAGCCTTCAATTCACAATCAAGACTGGAATTTGAAGCCCTGATGAAGGGGGGATCTTGAGTCCCAACCTTCAACACGTTGACTTCTTTTCTTGTCATATAGAGTAAACATGGACTCGACTTTTACTAGTGATGTGTGGTGCTTCCATCTTGCCCCAGCCCTCTTGTGGGTCTGGAGTCTTGGTGATGTAGAAAAGTTTTTCTACATCCCCCAAGACTCCAGACCCACAAGAGGGCTGGGCCAAGATGGAAGCTGGTGACAGAACGACAAGGGGTGAAACACGGACCTCATGGGAGGAGAGGACTTCACAAGGGAGGTGTGGCCATGATGAGCAAATAGGGTGAACCTACATGCACATTATGCCGAAAGCTCCTGAAGGCCAATAGTTTAGTATCTGCTTTATTGTGCTAGCTGCTGATTTACCTATTTACAATCTCAGTAGAAGGTCCTCCTGCCATAGGGAGATCAACACCCCCAGGACCTTTATTAGGCTTCCAGGACTAATGCTGCTTGGGGGGGTCTATTAAACCCCAGGCATTGAGTCTTACTGTACATGGCGATGGGGCTGAAGAAAGGTGGACACGAATCTGGAGAACAGAAGCCAAAAAAAGTTGCGCTAGACATGAACGTGGAAAGGTGGATGAACGGAGAACTTATGATGTCTTGTATTATTTCAGGTGGATCTTCTTGCACCCATGCTGATTCATGCAATACAGACTCAAGGTGCCCGGCAGCGACTTGATTCTCTGTACATATCCCAATACATTGTGTTCTATAGCTTGAATGGAGAAACATGGAGCCAGTACCAGGGGAACACGAGCAGTAATCAGATGGTATGTGCCTGTGTTCAGTTCAACCATTTTGGGTATATTGGGTGTTGTATGACCCAGTAATTGTCAGTTATACTATTACCGAAAAACTGGCCTGGCAATGAAGGGGTCCACACAGGCTGGTACTCAAGTGGTCAAACTTCGTGATTTCCACCCTTTTCCTCACCTCCTTTGTCAATGACGGGGCAATTCTAATTCCTCAATGTGTTTGTTTCCAGGTATTCTTTGGAAATGTTGACGCATCCAGCATTCAAGAGAACCGCTTCAATCCTCCAATCGTTGCTCGTTTCGTAAAGGTCCGCCCGGTGCACACTGGAACCAGAGCTGGCCTGAGAATGGAACTTTTTGGCTGTGACCTCACTAGTAAGAGTTTATACAAATGATTTTCCATTGGTTATCATAAATCTTATTAAAGAAATTCTAAAGACGTATACTTCAAAGTAGGGATGCACCGATACAGGTTTTTCGGTATCGAGTACCGATATATATATTTTTTTTTGGTACTCACCGATACCGAATACCAATACTGGTGCCGTGTGCCCCAATTATCGGTAAGTCGGGTGGCGGATTATGACCCTCTGCACGGTTTCCTGATTGCCTGGGAAGCCGGTGTTCTATCGAAAGAACACCAGCTTCACTTGCCAAGGCTGCCTGGCTTCCTGACCAATCAGGAAGATGGGAGGTGAGTCATGACGTGCTGCCTGGCTTCCTGATTGGTTAGGAAGCTAGGCTGCCTAGCGATAAGTGAAGCCTGCTTCTTAGCCAATCAGGAAGCTGGGCAGCATGTCATGACCCACCTCCCAGCTTCCTGATAAGCTAGCTAGGAAACCAGCTTCACTTGTTGCTAGGCAGCCTGACTTCCTGACCAATCAGGAACCCGGGAGGCAAGTCATGACGTGCCGCCCCGCTTCCTGATTGTTTAGGAAGCAGGCTGCCTACCAAGTAGTGAAGCTTGCTTCCTAGCCACTCATGATCCACCTCTCGGCTTCCTGATTGGCTAGGAAGCCGGCTTTACTTGTTGCTAGGCAGCCTAGCTTCCTGACCAATTAGGAAGCTGGGAGGCAGGTCATTACTTGCCGCCTGGCTTCTTGATTGGTTAGGAAGTCAGACTCCCTAGCAACAAGTGAAGCCGGCTTTCTAGCCAATCAGGGAGGTGGGTCATAACCCACCGCTCGGCTTCCTGATTGGAAAGGAAGCCGGCTTCATGCTCCTTTGGCACTGCCCGTCAGAGGGAGATTTCCCTCTGACCGGATGTTCCAGTATCGGAGGTAAGTTTTGGAGCATTTGGGTGAGTACGAGTACTTGCCCAAATACTCCGTTTTCGGTACTGATACTAGTATTGGTATCAGTAAATACCTACTTCAAAGTGAAACTTTGTAACACCACAGCGAATCTTTCCTTTGCCCATAAAGGACAATGTATGAGGGTCACCAGGCACCATGGACCCCCCTCCCCAGAGGTCCCCCCCCTGCTCCCCTTCCTTAAGCCACATTTACCATTAAAAAGAGTCTTTGAAGACATTTAACACATCGACTTGCATTGAAGTTGCCTGTTTTATCACCGACCAATAGTTATCAGCTCAGGTTCTGTTTTGTCTGTAGAAGTTCTTCGATGTTTGGCCATATACAGTAAAACTGGATTTCTCTAGTTATGGATTGCTTCACAAGTGGCATGCAACACATTTGTAATATTATGGTGGATTGTTTTGTATTTAGACAATTGTCCTTTGTACTTCCCCTTTCAGGTTGCTCCATGTCTCTTGGCATGCAATCAGGAGCTATTATGCCATACCAGCTGTCTGCCTCTTCTTCTCTTCGTTCTGTATTCGCTTCCTGGGTTCCAAGTTTAGCAAGATTGAACCAGCAAGGACGAATTAATGCCTGGAGACCACAGGTAAGTGTTCCTCATCATGCCTCACTATTTGACCTTCCACCTATATGAGCTTGTTGGACATCTGACCATCACACCTACACTATATTGCCAAAAGTATTGGGACGCCTTTACACGCACATGAACTTTAACGGCATCCCAGTCTTAGTCCGTAGGGTTCAGTATTGAGTTGGCTCCGCCCTTTGCCGCTATAACAGCTCCGCCTCTTCTGGGAAGGCGTCCACAAGGTTAGGAGTGTGTCTATGGGAATGTTGGACCATTTGTGAGGTCAGGTACTGATGTTGGAGGAGAAGGCCGGGCTCGCAGTCCCCGCTCTAATTCATCCCAAAGGTGTTCTATCAGGTTGAGGTCAGGATTCTGTGCAGGCCAGTCAAGTTCCTCCCCCCCCAAACTCCCCCATCCATGTCTTTATGGACCTTGCTTTGTGCACTGGTGGGCAGTCATGTTGGGACAGGAAGGGGCCGTCCCCAAACTTGTCCAAAATGTCTTGGTATGCTGGTGCCTTAAGAGTTCCCTTCACTGGATCTAAGGGGCCAAGCCCGACCCCTGAAAAACAACCCCCCCATAATCCCCCCTCCCCCAAACTTTACACTTGGCACAATGCAGTCAGGCAAATACCGTTCCCCTGGCAACCGGCAAACCCAGACACGTCCATCGGATTGCCAGACAGAGAAGCGTGATTGGTCACTCCAGAGAACACGTCTCCACTTCTCTAGAGTCCAGTGGCGGCGTGCTTCACACCACGGCATCCCACGCTTTGCATTGCACTTGGTGATGTAAGGCTTGGATGCAGCTGCTCGGCCATGGAAACCCATTCCATGAAGCTCTCTACGCTCTGTTGTTATGCCAATCTGAAGGCCACACGAAGTTTGGAGGTCTGTAGCTATTGTCTCTGCAGACAGTTGGCGACTTCTGCGCACTGTGCGCTTCACCATGCGCTGACCCCGCTCTGTCATTTTACGTGGCCTACCACTTCCTGGCTGAGTTGCTGTTGTTCCCAGTTGCTTCCACTTTGTTATAATACCAGTAACAGGTGACCGCGGAATGTTTAGTAGCCAGGAAATGTCACGGAACATCTGATTCCAGTGTTCGGAGGGGTGTCACAATACTTTTGGTAATATAGTGTATATGAGCTTGCTGGACCATATGAGCTTGCTGGACCATCTGAGCCTGTTGGACATTCCATTCCAAAACCATGGCCATTAATACGGAGTTGGATCCCCTTTTTGACTATAACAACCTCCACTCTTTTGGGGAGGTTTTCCACAAGATTTTGGAAGGTATCTGATGTTGGATGAGAAATTCTCATTTCAATTCATCTCAAAGGTGTTCAGTAGGGTTGAGTTCAGCGCTCTATGCAGAATGCTCGAGTTCCTCCTCCACACCACTCTGGTCAGGCCATATCTTTACACTGTATGGCCAGGTCTTTTCTTTCTTTCTTTTTCTTTCTTTCTTTCTTTCTTTCTTTCTTTCTTTCTTTCTTTCTTTCTTTCTTTCTTTCTTTCTTTCTTTCTTTCTTTCTTTCTTTCTTTCTTTCTTTCTTTCTTTCTTTCCTACAATGGAGACACCTGCTGCTGGGTTTGCACTTTTCTCTATTCTACACGAAGATTCCTTTTTAGGGTATGAAAAGTTTATTTGTAAAACAGAACCTGTGCGTAGTGTGCGTCTATCTATCTCTATGTATATATGATGTGTATCTGTGTCACACGTGGATTGTATATTTCAGGCAGACAGACCCGGCGAATGGTTCCAGGTTGACCTTGGGCGCATCATGAAGGTGACCGGACTGATGACACAGGGTGCCCGCTCCTTCACCTCCATGTACATCACTGAATTCTCTCTCAGCCTCAGTGAGGACGGTGTCACGTGGAGGGCCGTGCAAAGTGCCAATGGCCACCGGCAGGTATGTTACAGATAAAATGAGCCGCCAAATAATGTGCTGACGTAATCTTCATGTTGTGAATGTTATCACATAGCCTTACACACGGTCAGTGCCGGTGCTAGGATTCTTGCCTACACAGGCAATTTGCAATGTGCATAGCGCAAGCATCGGGGCATTTTGGCAACTACAAGTACTTGTCAAAATGCCCTGTTTTTTCCGCCCTCACCCTGCAGCGCCCTCAGGCGGCCGCCTGACTTGCCTTGCGGTAGCGCCGGGCCTGCACACGGTATACAAGATGAGAGCCCAACTCCAGCCAAAGCCCCTTTCTTACTTTTGGACAGAAAGGGGAAGGAGTAGGACCCCTTGTCATGTTCTTATTGCTGCCCGTGTCCTAATTGCTGGTGTCTGTATCTCCATCGGCCGTCACTCACCTCTGTAGCTGCATATACTGTGGAGCAATTCATCTTCAAAGATCACAGCAGAAGCACTAAAGTTGTTCAAGTCGTACTCTCAGCAGTTCCCCTTCCCAGGGCCAGATTAAGAGCATCATGGGCCTGGTGCTGTTGGCTGGACGGGAAGCAGCAGAGACGGCTCTCTAATTAGGTCGCTGCTCGCACCCCACTGGGGCCCCCCGAGGTACTGACTGTATTCAGGCCGGATTGCCATTGGGCAAACCGAGATAATCTGGGTCAGCCAGGGCTATTTTCAGTGGTGGGCCTGGAGCTCGCGCTCCAGTAGCCCTTATGTTAATCCAGCCCTGCCCCCTACCAGCAGCTCAGTTTACCCTGCTGCACCTCCCAGCAGCTCAGCTCAACCTGCCCCCCTCCCAGTAGTGATTCAGAAGCTCAGCTCAACATGCACCCCTCACATCAGTGACTGAGCAGCTCCGCTCACCCTGCTAAGCTCAGTCACTGCAGGTCATCCCTTCCCAGAGCTTTAGAGATAAGAAGGCTGCTGAGTCACTCACTGGCATTAGATACGAGCAAGGTGAGCTGAGCTGCTGATGGGAGGGTGGGG